CTCTGTAAATAAAGCAAAGCCACTTCCTGGTCCGACATTAAACAGAGCCCGACAGAGGAGGGAGGGGCGGGGAGGCTGTCGCCGTGCAGCGCTTCAACAGCTGACCTGCGTCTGACCTCAAAGAGCACAAGTGTCCAACTTCAGCGATGCCTGCGATTTTGAAGCTGAAATCACATTCTGTGTGAACGCAGCATAAGTCTTCGCTCCCTGAATAAATCATACGTCACAATGATGTCATCATATACTGTATAATATATATAAATCCCTGAATAAATGAAACGACACATCCAGTGTTTATTTCAGACCTGAGCTCTGAGCCACAGATTTAAATAAAAATATCTAATCCTGCCTCCCTTTAAATAATCATCTCCTCCAGAATTCCTCCTCTGAAGAACTCCCACATCCTGGAAAACCTCAGGCTCATTCTCTCCAGACTCACAGCCTCCTCTCCAAATAATAATAATATTATTCAGGTTTTACCACAACAAATGGACTGGAGTGTAAACAAATATTCAAACATTGATCACTGATATCAGAAAAAACACAACCGAGGAGCCAAACAAAGACAAGAAGACAAAATACAGAGTGAATATAAACACAGCTGACAGACTGCTACACAACAACCAGACAGCCTCACATTCACTGAACTTTAACTGCTGGTTTGATCATTTCAGCTTGTACACTGGATTTATTTGATCTTAGCTTCAGGTTTTTGTTTTTGACAGTTTAGATTTCAGTAATTTGTTCTACTAATATTAGCATTTAGCTACTTTTCTGCTGGTTTTAGTGGTTAGCTACAGCTTTGCCAGAGTAACTTTTAATCAATTTTCTAGTTGTAGCTTTCAGCTCCTGTTTAGCTGCTCTTAGCATTCAGCTGCTGGTTTGAACCCAGCTCTAACCCACCAGGTTGGAGACCCCGCGGACGGTCTCGGGGTTCAGCATGACGATCTCGGTGGTCACGTGTCCCTCCACGGCCTCGGTCATGTTCTCCACGGTGCAGTTGATGGCCGGGTCTTTGATCTTGAACCAGTTGTCGGCGTACCAGCCAATCAGGAACCACACGTACTTCTTCCCGTACAGCTTCTCCTTGAACACCTGCAGCAAAGATGGCGGCGGATGAGTGAGTCCCAGAGGACGGCGCTGCATCGTGGGGGTCCCGTATGGGATCAATCTTGTGCCAGCAGGAACTGAATCTGAACGTGCATCATTTGAAATTGAATGCATTGGTTTGAAAATTAATTTTATTAAATTGAAACTGAATTAAATGTTTTGTATCTGAATTAATTTTTTGCTTTGAAATTGTATTTTGGTTTAATAAAAATTCAGTTTGACTACTTTCACTAGCTGTTTCCACTGCAAAAATGCGCAAAACTTTGTCGATATTCTGCTAATGTCGAAAAACAGTTTCGCAACTTCTGTTTCCATTAAGTAAGAGATGCTATTAAAGTCACGTGAATACGTTTGTTCTCGTGATAAGTCATTACAAACATGGCAGCGATGGATGTAAACACATAGCATGTTGCTACCACGACACTAGCGCTCATCATCAGAGGAGACGTCGGCGTCTTTTATCGAGGCTTTCCAGAGACAAGTCCCTACTTGGGAGCGGCTACGTATGCTGTGTTTTTGGGAAATTGTAGTCGCTGAGTTTCTTACTTTCTTTTACTACTTTGTTGATTTTACTACTTCTACTTCCTGTTATCTTCGTCGTCATCTTTTCCGCCAGTAGAAACATCTGGTTGTTGATCACGTGACTCCCGTAATTTAGATAAGACACTTTTAATTCAGTTTCAAATCATAAAATTCAATTTAAATTTAGTAAAATTCATTTTTCAAACCAATGATGCACATTCAAATTCAATTCCTGCTGGCACAAGATGGATCCCACAGTCCTGGTCTCTGGTCCCACTGACCTCACAGAAGACCTTCCTGGCTTCGGTCTCATAGAAGAGCCCCACAATGATCCTGGCATCCTGGCGCTGTGGGGAACCAGCAGAAAACAGAGCTCATTTACATCAGCAGCTTGATGGGCCAGCCTCCCGCTGCTCCACAGGATGGCACATACTGCCGTTCAGGAGCGGGTAATTAGCATGGGGCATTAATTTCCTCATTCAGATCGCCTCTATGCTAATGTTAGCAGCTGTAGCCCTCCGGGCTACAGCTGCTAACATTAGCATAGAGGCGGTGAGGGGACGGCCGGCAGCTGAGGTGAATTTTTAATCAAAAGCACCTTGAGATTCTTGACAGCGACAGCCGGGTCGGTGAGGAAGCTCTGACGAACGCTGATCTCGATGCCCGCCTCTTTCACCCTCTGCTCCAGATCGTCCAGAGTCTGTCAGATGAAAGGAGGGAGAGAGGCAGACGAGACACAGAGAGGTGACAGGGTGAAAGACAAAAACAACTCTGACAAGATAAAAAAAACAACAACAAAGAATCGGAGCAGGACTCAGAACACAACCGGGGCTGCTGCTCCAGAAATATTTAAATATCACCTCCCTGTAACTCCTCCAGCCTCTCTGCACACGCACATCTAAAGACAGGGGCTGCAGCGTCTGACCTTTTTTCTGCACACATTCAACAGGTCGCTCATAAAAACACAGCCAGTTAAAGAAACGCAGAAGAATAAAACACCACAGGACCAGAGGGAAAATAAAGTCCGGTTAAAATGAGCGAAACATCGATTCCTAACCTCCAAACTGAGCTTCACAGTGTTTGTTTCTGACGTTACGTTTTATTTTGAAAGGATCATAAAGTGGAAACTGAGCAGCTTCTTTTCTCAGAGTGTTAAAACAGCCGTTCCTTTAACCCAGGGGTCTGCAACCTGTGGCTCTGGGGCCACATGTGGCTCTTTGGTCCCTCTGCAGCGACTCTTTGAAAACATAACAGAAGCTTTTTTGTTTATTTGTTTTTATACCCACAAAAGAAATCAATTTGTATGCAAATATGTGATCAATACTACTAATACAAAAGTATAAAGTAAAACCTGTTGATTAGCTCATGCTAACCTGTTGTTTACTTTAAAAAAATCACACATCTTTCTATGATCTTTTTCTCAAATCCATCAGAATTACCTTTAAAGATTTTAAAGACTACATAATAAGAAGACTTAGTAAAAAATATGCCTGAATAGTTCAGTTGTACTAGTTTTTATAAAATTCGGTATAAACTATATACAGTATATTCTTCTTTACATGAATCAGGTCTTTTCATTTGTCCTGATGTGTAAAAATAATAACAAATAATAAAAATTCACAATATATTTATTTGTTTTATAATGTCACCTCCACTGGCCATAAAGATTCTTGAAAAGGCCTTGAAAAGGCCCACGGACCACCAGTTGATAATTGCAGTTGTAGCTTGCTTTGTGGCTCTGGACACATTTTATTAGTGCATCAAGTAGCTTAAATGACTCTTTTGATTGTAAAGGTTGCAGACCACTCCTTTAACCGAACCGACCGGCTCTCATTTTAATTTAAAGGGATCCCTGATTAGGGATCAGCCTGTTAGCTTTAGCATTAGCTCCGATGCTATTAGCTCAGCGCTACACGTTCTCCTCTCGTCACTGAGGTCCTCCATCCACATGACAGAGGGGAACACAAAACTGACTCAGCCTGGAACTGAAAATATGGATGGAGGACAACAGGTTAGCTTGTTTGTCGCGCTAGCTCAGTTCCTCACTGGTCCAGACTGTCAGCTCCAGACCATTCAAAGAGTTCTACCTGGTTCACCACCTATAAGACAAGACACATACACGTAGCTAACGACGCAGCTAATCTACAAACTATTCTCCAAGAACGGAGAGAATCACGTCGTAAAAAAATCAAGAAGGATTCCAAGAAGTTAAAGCGGAAATAAAAAACATATAAGGCAATATAGCGTCGGCGCTAACGCTAAAGCTAACAGGCTAAGCTGAGGTTCTTCTTCCATGAAGCAGCTCTGTTGTCCTCCATCCATATTTTCAGTTACAGACCGAGTCATTTCTACCTTCTCCTCTCTGTTGTTTGATTTGTTAAAGGCATCGTCCTTTTAATCCTGCATCAGTAGATTGGGCAGCTTTAGGAG